AAAAAAAAAAAAAAATTTTTTTCTTATAATTAATTAATGATTTTATCAAATTTGTAGGTATTTTAAAGTGAAGTAAACAGGATGTTATTAAACTTCATTTCAATTCAAGTTGTGAAACCAAAAAAGGCTTTTACTAATTTATGAATGGGAATTACTCATTATCTGTTTACTATAAACCATTATCATCGTCAATTACATTAAGTCCATAGTCTGTTGATTGGCAATGACGTATTTGTGGGGAAGGAAAAAGTGTATTTATAATGTTTTGACCAGCAAAATACGTAATAAGTTGAATCACTTGTTTACGATTCATAATAATTTTATTATGACTAAATTTGTCCTGTGTCGTAATGAGGGTTTTCGCGTATGAAAGATCCGCTAGATGGCGGGACGTGGATGTGGGGTCTGACTGCTGAGTGATTGGTGGATTTTGACATATCTGTCAATGTCATGTCAAAAATAACCAATCATGCAGCATTTGGACCTGGTAGTCTACGTATTGCCATCTGGCGGATTTTTCAAACGCGAAAACCCTAATTTTGTGCATGTCTGCGATATTCTTTGACTTTCGTTTTCAATAGCATCTAAGGCTCAACTTACTTAAACTGTAAATAATAGGTAATAGTTTTTTTATGGAGTTTGACAGATTTTTGACGTTTGTTAAAGTTAAAGTAAAAAGTTGCACCATTTTGCCACAGCATAGGTGATCTTCAGCAAAATATTTATACTAATTAGTTTTCCTTTTCGTCCGACAGGTGTCGCTAGAAGAAGCGCAGGCGCTGTCGCGACAGCTCAAAGTTCCGTACATAGAGTGCAGCGCAAAAGCACGCATGAACGTCGACCAAGTAAGTGGTAACAGCTCAATATTTGATTTCTACAAGGTTTCGTCTTTATTTCGTTGAGTTTGTACGAAAAGGTGAATATTTTGGAAGATCGAAATGTTCTTCTTTTGAGAAAAAATAAATAATATTTTTCGATACCCACCAATAATGGGTCATGACTCATGCTGTATAAATNCAAAATAGTTGTTACAACCAACCTTTTGTTGGGTCTAATTCTCGTCACTACACTGAACAACTTAAAATAATTACGTTTTTTGTCGGTAAAAACGTCCTGGTGACGTCACTTAAGCATTTTTCTTATACTGCGTGCGGTCTTTGCGCGTGCGCACAAAGGAATGAGACCGCTCGGACACCGAGCCCACAGCGTGGTAGGGGTGGGGTTGCCCGCTCTTTTGTTTTTTAATACTACTACGCTGAATATTGTGTGCGGATTGGGTTGTCGTACAGGGGTACTACATGGTAAAATAAATCTCGGAGGCGAAAGCAGGATAATGCATAATAACTACAAAATGCGAAAGTAACTTTATCTGAATTATAACATTAGTATCTATGGATAATAATCATCATCATTTCAGTCAATACATTATATTATAGTCCACTACTAATCGTAAGCTTCTCCCAATAGCACAATCTGGCACTTTATTGCACTTATTATTTCGTCATATTTCGTCAAGAAAGTATCAATAAATCATTAAATTATTATCGTGACTACTTCAGGCTTTCCACGAGCTGGTCCGCCTCGTGAGACGGTTCCAGGAAGCGGAGAGAATAAACATCAAAGCGGAGAGGAGTCACAAGAAGAAAAACTGCACGATTTTGTAACAGGAGGAAGCAGAACTGTTGGTGAGGCTGCCTTGATTTGTAGACTAACGCCCGTATTCACAAACATTACTATGAGGTCTCACAGTGCGCGTGGACGCACAGAGTGACACACGAACCAATAACAGAACTCTATTTAACGCTGTACGTTCGATTTGCTGCTTCACATAAGCAGCATCGTTTGTGAATATGGGCGTACAACATTTTGAAGATAATTCAGTTTAATGTCTCAAGAAAATGTAAAATTCGACATCGTATGCTAATACCAAGTTACAGACAAAACTATGAAATCTAAAACAGCTAGGGACTGGAATTCGCTGCCTCAAAGGCACTTACAGGGCAGATATGTACCATCCTAGACTGCATCCCACTTAACATCAAGTGCGATTGTGGTGAAATAAATTGTGAAGTAAATAAACAATGTTGAGTCGAGTTTTGACTGAATTTGATATTAGAACCATCACAAATTACTGCAATACTACATGGTTATGTTTGCCTGAGGATGTTTTTTTATAATGTTTCAATAATCTGTAACGACAGTTGACATAAGTAAGTAACTGTTTTTAGCTATATTTTTTGGAAACTAAGGAATTAAATATTCCTAGCATCTCTGTAAAACTGAATGTGTTGTAAATGATTACGTTTTTAAATCAAGGCAACCTTTCAAAGGTTGAATGAATGAATTCCGCTCTATTTTGTGAATAAGATACCTTGAAGTTATTCATTCAGCATCATATTCCCGATCGTAATATTTATCACAATATTTATTTTAGTTTTTTAAGTTTTATTTTAAATCTTTGAAATGAACAAGGCTCCAAAAAAAACAAATAAATTCTTGTTTTTTTTTCGATCACTGTTCGTGCAAAGATGTCATCAGAGTTCGTATTTTTCTATCTTTTTTTTCGTCTTATTATTATTGGATAAGGTATTTATTTTTATTTTCTTTTTCCTAAGTTATCCTAAGTTTAGTTCTTCTTATTTCTTGTTGATGACAAGCTGCGCAAATAGGTCGTGTAAAATAGATTATAAATTATTTTATTTTATAAAGCGATTGTTGCTATGTTTTCGTTTCTAGCACTTATAAGTGGTGCCATATTCAAACTGTAATTAACACCAAATAGGCATGATTTTATAATCTTATTGTTGTTTCTTCAACTTCCGAGTACATAGAGTTTGGTCATATTAAAAACTCAAACTATTCAGTTTTTGATTATTAAATTAATTAATCAAAAGCATTTTGATGTTTGCCTCATTGCAATATTAAGTACAAGATCATTATTTGAAAATACGTTTGAATAAGTTACAAAAAAATAAATAAATTAGAATGTACTAAAATGTAAAAGTATGTACAATTTACATAAATGTATGTTATTAACTGTACAAGAACAATATTATAATAAGTAACGGCGCGTTCTCGATCAAATCTAAGGAATTCTATGAATGGATAATTCTTTAATTTAATTTATTTAAACCCAGTAGTTAACCCCGAAATACGTTTAAACAGTTTTTTTAAGTCTTAAAGTTCTCGGTCGCCCCGGTACTAAAATTAGTGACGTCATAAAAGCCTGGTAGCAGGATCCATAGGCAGCTCTTCGTAAATTTATCGGGTGAGCTGTCAATGTTTTCAAAGTTCTGACGGTAAAAATAAAAGTGGTTTGATTTTTAAGAAATTGAAATAATATCGGAGAATCATCAAGAAAACCCTATAACTTTAATATCACATTTCTCTTCTTTCTTAAAAAAATATCTTGATTTATTAAAAGTCTAACTAAGATGTGTAAAGAATAAGAAGTGTAAAAACCAAATACTAATTTGTATTTTTGTTTGATATTTTCTAAAATTAGTTAAGCGTAATAATACTGTAACTTCGAAATGGATAAACAGTGTTTAGTCTACCATAGACTACGAGATTTAACTTAAAAATACCAGTGCAGTGTACCCTATACGGTACAGTACAGTTTGTGGAATTTACATGTGTTAATACGCATAATATTGGATATTTTATAGCCTGTGTCAATAGACTCATCATCATCAATAAGCAAATGAATTATACTGTCTCAGTCAGTGGTATGTAGATTATTTCACTGTGCAATCAAAGACAAGTTTGAGCGCGTCACTAGGGGCATAGACAATTCAGTATCAATGTTCGGGAGAGATTGATTTTGTCTATTGGCATGGACTATACAATATTGTAATAACATGGTAGGAAATATTTTTATTATGGTGCTGAAAATTACGTTTTCAACTTGTCTTTGAATATTATCATAATATTTATAACAAAATAATAATAAAAAAAAATATCATGTTTACACAGTTATAAATATTATAATAATGTATATTGTAGATGTTAAATAGTACATTCAGAAATCAGCCCAACGACCAATGCAAAATGAATCTTATGGATTCCACATAAGCTTGATTTCGCATGATTAATATGCTATAAGTAGGAAGGTGGTAATTTTAGCATATTTAAACCAATAATCATAATTTATTTTATTAATATATCTTTTTTTGTCATTTAGGAGTACCTACATACTGTATTTAACATATTGCTAAAACTATATCATAGTGAAAAATGGACGGGCAACTTTACATGTTATTTTTTAGAAAGAGATATACTATATTATATTTTTATATCGTAGTATTGGTTTGTACGCATTTTTTGCTAAGCAGAAACATTCGTTGGTGCACCCTTTTTGATACATGTTTACAATTATTTGATAAATTAGCTTTTAAAGTAAGCGAGAAGATTATAGTTTTAACAGCTTTAGATATTTCATATGTACATACTGTTTTTTTTAATAAACATGCGAGTGTCAGCAACGTACGATCACCAGGTACGTATTCATGAATTAGGGAGTTTATATCTATTAATATAGGGGTCAGAATCGATTGGAGACATTGTTATTTCGTGGTAGCTTGATGCTTCCGCCTTCCAAAGTACCAAACACACCACTGTGTTTAGACTAGCTTGATGTGCTGTCATCCGTACATTGAAAATTAAACTTATAGGTCAAGCAAATATCTGACTCAGTGTATGAGGCATGAGAGCAGCACGAGAGGGTTGACTTTGACATATTATGACGTGACAGACAAAATAAAACCAGAGTAAATACAAATGAGTAGGTCATCGTCATAAAAACGCCCGAGCGCGGTTTGTATGTGTGCGCGCCAATACGCATGCGGCGCGCACGCACACACTGACAAAATTTAGCGGGGATTAGCGGTGAGGTGCGCTGAATTTTGTCAGTGTGTGCGTGCGCGCCGCATACGTATTGGCGCGCGCTTTCATACAAACCGCGCTCGGTGCGTTTCTATGAAGATGACCTACTCATTTGTACTTACTCTGATAAAACTAACAAAAATAAAGTCTTGCTGACGTTTGACGTCACCCTCCCGTGTCGCTTACTCTTGTACATGCCTCAGGTACTGTCTTAGTTAACGCTAGACCTAACCTATGATATACTTTCGAGCAAAAGTATGGAATCGCCTCGTTGTGTTTGTTTCTAAGCCATCTTAAGAACTGAATGACTATGTATGTATCTATAGTATCAATTTAAAGTATAACCTTTAAAATGGTACCATTTTTATTTATCTTCTAGTCATTTAGTTCTTACGATCGCTCAGTACAAGTGGGCTGATTCCATACTTTTGCTCGCGAGTGTACTCATACATTCATATTTATAACTTTACTGCTGTGTTGTAACATTCGTTTCTAAGTTCAGTTGGTAACAGTATTCTGTGTTGTGAGTTACATTCAGTACCTTCTATACTAAACTTGTAAGTTTATATATAACTTATGTAACATTGTAGATCATGTACAGTATGGTTTGACCCTAAAACCTGTCATTTATAGCTATGTTTATAAATTCATCGCCAATTTTTTAATCCAGCGAGCGAATATTAAATTTGGTAACTTAGAAACAACGGAGATAATGTCAAAATTAAATAATGGTTTTCAACCGTATCTTCATAGCATAAAGTTCAAATTGATGTGGGCTCTATTTAACCAAGGCCTGGTTAAGGGTTAAATTGCGAGGATTCGGTCGTTCAAAAATGCCTTTTTGTCTATCAACAGTATTAAATGAAAAAAAAAAGGGTCAAACGCATTGTACATGTATATTATTTGATGTAGATAGGAAATCAAACTGTTACTTAGGTATACTGTAGTACCTTTTGGACGGACATGTATGGTATACATTGGTAAAGTATAGGTAAGTAAATGTTACTGTATAGTGTCACCGTTTAACGTAATGTTGTAAATAATGTCTAGATGCTGTTGTAAATTGCTTTTTAATTTGCATAATTGATTTACCGATAAAAACCGTAGCACAGATTAAAATCTGGTTAATAAAATGTAATAAAATTAAACTAAAATGTAACTATTTTAAAAAATAAAAGCCGTTTGACTATGGTCTTGTCTATGCTACGGTGCCACAGACAATATACCATACATGCCGTCCAAACCTGCGGGCGTATTTCTACTAAAGAGGTCCAATCCTTGGCTTTTACCAATGCTTATAAAAATGTACATCTTTTGCAAAGGACCGGAAATCAAAAAACAAATATAACTAAACTGTGCTGATAGGCCAGTAGAATTAAACACAAAAATTGATTAAATCGGAAATAATTCCTACAAAAGATTTTATTGTTTTAATGGCTTCATTGGTTGCCCATTAAGACTCTCCTAAGTTTTCGACTTCGACGGAGTTGTGCTTAAGTGGTGGGGGCCCCCGAAAGGGGCGTTTTTTCGGTTTTCCGGTTATACCGCGTAAAGGACTTACCCTATCGAAAAGTGGTCTTCATGACGGTTAAAGGGCACTTAATCCTGCATTGAATAAGACCAAATTCATATGTTTTGGACAAACCGTTCTCGCGCTAAAGTTCGGCAAAGTAGAAAATATACGTATAATTAATGACCCTCTCCACGTCCAATGGTTTGTTACCCACAGGCTTCCAAGTCTTGAAAAGGGCCACCTCAACCAGTGTAACCCTATCAAGGCTTACGAGCTTGATGCGCCTATCCTTGTTCGTCCCAGCCGTTCCTTAACTGCGGTTGCTGCACCTCTTCCTGGCACTCTCCTGAACGACTCTGTGTTACCTAATGTGGCTGCCCCTCTTCCTTGTACCCTCCTGTACGATTTCATTGCTTAGCCATATGCCTGGTCCAAGGTTCGACGCCACAAAATCAACTTCGTACGAGTGAAAATAGTTTAAATACTATTTCCCGTGCTTGCAACATTTTTCTTTACTGCTTCGCCTCTATTAGTCGTAGAGTGATTGTATATATCCTATAGCCTTCCTCAATGTATGAGCTATTCAACACAAAAATAATGATTTCAATCAAACTAGTAATTCTTAAGATTAGCGCGTTCAAACAAACAAACAAAAAACTCTTCAGCGTTTTAATATGAACTTGTTGTTGTTGATTTTTGGCGTCGAACCTTAGACCAGGCATACGGCTAGGCAACGTAGTCATGCAGGAGGATACAAGGAAGAGGGGCAGCCACAGTAGGTAACACAGAGTCGTTCAGGTGAGTGCCAGGAAGAGGTGCAGCAACCGCAGTTAAGGAACGGCTGGGACGAACAAGGATAGGCGCATCAAACTCGTAAGCCTTGATAGGGTTACACTGGTTGAGGTGGCCCTTTTCAAGACTTGGAAGCCTGTGGGTAACAAACCATTGGACGTGGAGAGGGTCATTAATTATACGTATATTTTCTACTTTGCCGAACTTTAGCGCGAGAACGGTTTGTCCAAAACATATGAATTTGGTCTTATTCAATGCAGGATTAAGTGCCCTTCAACCGTCATGAAGACCACTTTTTGATAGGGTAAGTCCTTTACGCGGTATAACCGGAAAACCGAAAAAATGCCTCTTTCGGGGGCCCCCACCACTTAAGCACAACTCCGTCGAAGTCGAAAACTTAGGAGAGTCTTAATGGGCAACCAATGAAGCCATTAAAACAATAAAATCTTTTGTAGGAATTATTTCCGATTTAAAAGCTAATTCTACTGGACTATGAGCACAAAATTGCTTTTTGAATAGCAGTCGCCTGGCAACACTGGCAAGCCAAAGGAATGTTGCCAACATTAAAATAACTCGACTCGTGCGCATATGAAAGCCACTGATTGGTCCATGCAACATTGGAATACGCCCTCTACGCCCTCTATCGGTGCAATAAGTTAAGGGAAGCTTTAACCTGGGCGGGAGCCCGTAACTGACTAAACGTACTGTTCTCCGGCTTATTTTATTGTATTTGTATAATAAACGCATTGTAACAAGTCGTTGTTTTATTTACTGATTAGTATTTTTAATCAACGGGTATCACAATCCACAACAACTTACACAGTGTCCCAAATTAGCATCAAATGATCAAAAAGTTTTGCTGGGGCCACAACAGAGTATGAAAAATCTATTGAAACAAAGTTGTCCTAAGTAGGTAAAAGTTGTCATACTTTGCAAAAAAGGACATTTCCCTAGGAGCAGACCACAGATTGTTCGGCCGATAGTTTAGTCGGGCAGTCAATCAGTATGGGTATGTATGGAAGTGCGTACTGTATTGAACCAATGTGTATTTACTAAGGTACACTCCATAGGTCGCTGGTTCACATCCGGCTCGAAGGACCATTGTAAAGAGCAGGGCTTATTTATCATAAAATTATAGGCGTTGATGAATTTGGTGACTTTCACGTTCGTTGCACACATAGACAAGAAGTCTTAGTTGCTAGAGTAAAATGGTCTGCGGATAGGCTTATGGAGATTTATTTGCATTTCTCTGTACCTAGTTATTACTGACAAACTGGCGTTTTGCAAGAAATAATACTCAACGATCACTCATCAACCCTCAACTACTACACCACACGCATCCTAACCCAATAAAACCCTCAAAAACTGATCACGATCTCATTTATTCATACATATATTACATAAATAACTACAATCCACTAGTTCAGTGCTTGGCAGCAAGCGCGGCCAGGTCTGAGATGCAGCGGTCCAGGGTCTGCTTCTCCTGGTCGGGCGTGATGGCCTTGGTCACGTTGAGGACTATCCAGTCGACCATGTTCTTCTGGGCCATTCTGCGTTCCACGTTGGTCTTCTCCAGCTGGTAGTCTAGACGGCGTTTGACCTGGAATGTGGAGAATAATAAATAAATGGAGTGTACGAGTCAACTCGCACATTTTTTATTATTATGTAAATTATTGTTAACTTGCATTTTATTCCAGCTACGCCTGACCTACATTTTGGACTTTGGTAGTTCTAACATTTTTATAATCAGTGCAATAAGCATTCGGCAGCTAAAACACGTCTTTCAATAAATCCCATCAGCGGTTAATACGGCTTAGTTGTCTGACAATATCTTGACATCAGTCTTACTTTGACACCACATCTTACATGGAGAATTAGACCAATTATAATTATAGCCTGACCAGGAACATAAAAACCCTGGCATAGAGGCGCGTCAATTGCATTTGATAGTGCAACACTGAGTACAGTCGTGCCTGTGTTAAATTAATAGACTAACTTTATGTATCAGGATTCAGGATTACGGGCTAATTTGATATTTTCATAAATTAACGAAAAAATATTATTATAAGTAACCTGGTTTAAATAAATTAAATGAAACCATCAATCAGCTACTTGGATTTATTTTATTATTCATCAATAATCAAATTCAGAACTTGAATATTCAACTGCTATGTCTGCTCATAAACGCTTCAAACTCGGTACTTCTCTCCCAATTCCATAAAATTCAACACTTAGAAAGTGACAAAAAACTTTAAAATATGTAGTTGAAACAAACTGAAGCTAATTTTCATAGTGGACTGTACTATACGATAAACATGTCAGTCAATTTGACAACCTTTGTCGGAAACATTATTCAATGAAAATATTGTCCGAACCCTTAGTATTTCTCTTCGACAAATACTTTAACACATTGTGAACCACTTTTCTTTCACGACTATAAAAAGATTTTAGCAATTTAATTCACAAAATCAATTGCGCACATTTAAAATAAAGTTTGTTTACACTTTGACAGCAATAGACTGACATGCAAGGTGACATGTCAATGAAGTTTTCAGTTACTGTTGCCATTAAAAGAA